GATGGCATACCAAACAAAAATCATAGAATACTGAACATAAGACTACAAGGTTATATATGTTGCATTAGACTTTGCCACAGAGACTCCTTCTGACCTCAAAAAACTTGAGGCTGAACACATGGAGTGTACTACCTAATGATCTAATTACTTTTATACCATAATTGCATGCATCTTGGTGTGAGTTTTGCTGCCACCTAAACCTCTTACTTCTGTTACTTGTGAAAAGCAGCTTTTGGAGAGAATTGATCCTGCAACAAAGAAACTGAAGAACAAAGGGATTGATTTCTCGTTTTGATGCAAGCCAGAAAATTATTATACAGAATTTTGACACAACCCATAGTTCCTTTTCTCTTGAGATCTCTGTAACACGGTTCATTTCAACAAGAACAAGCAATATGAATTTTTATTTTTTTGAACAGGAATTGATATAAAATTGTTGAAGTCCAAATCGAAGTAACAATAATAAAAAACTAACACATGATTCTACATAAATCGAGTGCATATCTCATTGAGGCAATTCATCAAACATATTATGAACAATTAAAAGAAACTCATCTCCAAAAATTTCAAGAAGTCAGGCTGAACGAAGGCCGATTCATAGAAAACAAGGGAAAACATATATTGGACGAAGGAAGACATACCTGAAGGAGGAAGGAAAACCGATTCACAGTGCAGAAATGGAGAAGTGGAGGAAGGAAGACAGGCTGAGCGACTAGCCTCTCCAAATGTGGCGAGCAATTTGGTTTTCTAAATTTTGGCAAGGTGGATAGCTAGGACGAAGAAACACCAAATTTGGGTTTTACTCGCCAAAATGGCTAAAAGGCTGCAATGGTGAGAGGCGTTGGAGATGCTTTTAGATCTCACACAAATTACAATGATTACAAAACAGAGGTTTGAAGAGTGTATAATAATAAATTAGAATTAAAAAAATACTTGAAATTGTTTGAAATATTTTAAAAAAATCAACTTTTCCTTGAAAGTCTTTAAATAAATCCTATTTATTAATTTTTTCTTCATTTTGACCGAGACTATTTTTGTCCAAAAAGCTGATAAAAAAGTTGCTCAATAAGTCCGAGTTAAAATGAATAAGGTTTTCTTTTCTCTAAATCCTCTAAAAACTAAAGTTTTCAACCATCTCCAAACATGCCCAATGTAGTGGTTCCATAACTCATTAGAAAGCGTACTTGCAAGGTGTTAAGGTTACAAAAAAACAAAAAAGGATTGTTTCATGGAAATGTTAATCCACACGTCATCTACAAAACTCATACTCAATATTCTAGCCTCACTACATTATGAGAAGGAAACCTCTGGAAAATAAAGATAAGTTCTATGTTTATGCTTGCGGTCCCCTACTATGAGCTCAATCTGTTCGTAACCTTGCAATATACTGGTCATAGAATTTCCCAGCTCGCTCCAGATCTCCAAGCTCAGTATAACAATCAGCTATTGCTCCATAAGCTTCTGTGTTTCCAGAATCCTCTCCTTCTCTTTTTGAAATTGCCAAAACCATAGAGTGGTATTTAATGGCTTCCCGGTAATTACCCTGCCTTTGCAGCGAGGCTCCTGTAAGACACATATATGTATCCCATATTACATTAATATTTAAGATAGTATGGCATAATACAGAGAAAATGTACAACATGTTCTCGAAAAAGCTTAAGTAACCAACTGGGAAAAAATAAAACAGATAAACATGACTAAGAGTTTGTCAGGGAAATTACTGAGTAAAATATCAACTTCATTTAATATAATTTCTTCTTGTGTTTTACCGTTTTCTAGCAATCCAAATCAAAGTGGAGCCAAAGTAAGAAGCTCCACTAAACGAACCAAGCTCAATCTTGTGTTCGGGCTTAAACTTGAGTCCTCACTCATGTTAAGATCAAGCTTGGCTTGTTTATGTATATCGATAAAAACCTTTACAAAATATACTAATAAAAGGCCTTAATCTATCCACAAGCCTAATGAGTGGAACAAGCCATTTTCATTCCCGGCTTGCTCAGTAAGTGAGTCCTAAAATTGCGCTTGAGCATGGTTCATTTTAATGAGCTCTAGTCCGTCTGGCACCCTAGCTATTCATGAACAGCTCAGTTTACTTGCAACCCTAACACTGTCCAAAGAAATTATAATGGCGGTTTTAAAAAACAAGGATGGGAACTAGAAGAGCATGAATGCAATGTTACTTTTAATAAGTTCACAAAACCAAGTACCGTTTGAGATTATATACCACTGCAAATGCTCAACTTTATGTTTATCATGTTCCCATAAGAACATCATCACATAAAACATGGACAGAAGGTCAAAATTTGAGAAAAGGATTTATGACAAACCTACACCCCTAGCAGCCTTCTTCTCCTCTGTTGGATCCTTTAGATTCTGAGCAAGCTCAAGAGCTGTCTTAAATTCCAAGAGAGCCTTCTCTGGGTCTTGATTTCTCAGAAAATTCTTCCCATTTTTTAGGCGAGCAATTAACTCGTGCTTCCTTGGATCAACAATTACCTCATTTTCGGGTATCCTACCACCAACAGGAGCATAACTCAAACTGGGTGCATAAGATTCAATCTTAGCTTGCCTTCTCAGAGCTGCATTGATCTGGCGCAGCTGTTCATTCAGCCGTTCCAATTCTGCTCTCCTCTGTCGTGCAAGCAATCCTGCAATTCTAGGCATTTAAATATCAGGGAAATGACATGGAATTGTTGAAAAACAAGATGGAAAAACCCTACACATATAATAATATGCGTGGAAATATTTCCTGAAGAACAAAATAATATATCAAGAAAGGATATACTCGAGTCTTTTAAATGTGCATATTTTAGATTGTTTCAAACATGGCAATGTAAAATTGTAGAGGAATGATGCAATAGGAAAACTAGTGCCATCAAAGCAGTAAACAGATAACATTCTAACACTACAACTCGTTCTAAATTCTAAGGTCATGCACAATGTTGTTAGCTTCTATGACTGAGGTACAGAACTAAAGGCTGGCATGGGCATAGAGTACCTTACCTCCAACAGTTGCTCCTACAAGAGCAACAAATAGCAGCAAGGGCATGTCAAAAACTGATTTATTGACCTCGCATGTTTCTGCCAGAGCTTCTAAAGGTGTAGATAAAATCAAGGCATTAGTGAAAATAAGTGCCAATGCCGGGAATCTGGTGAGAACTATTGCCTGCCAAAGAGATACTGGTGGAATTCAATGGCAGCAATGGAAACAAAAACATAAGAAAGCAGTAAGGAGCAGATACACATTCACAGAAAGTCAAACAATTTGCCAGCTCCATTCAACTGGTCATGTTCCCGACTAGCATTTAAGACGTAAACTGACTCCCATAGAAACAAATCTTAAACCTTCAGTGTTTGATAAGATTAACCTGGAGAGCCAATTAATACTTTTGCAGACTATTTGGTGATCATCAACAATTAAGTACAGAACACCATATCGAGTAGGAGACTTTAGATTCACAATTACTTTCAATTCAGTTATTGTGATTAAAAAATCAGCAGGACACTAGTTAACCAAATTGAGCTTTTTAAATTTGGTCAACCTTAACTTCTTGGCCGGATGTCGCATCCAACACAATGCGCATCATTTGAAGTTTGAACGTATTAGCATTCCACAGAATGGCTTACCACTGGAAGATATTAGCATAGTTACTTATTACAACTTATTATATCTACATTAAGCGAATGGAGTTCTCTGAATGTTAATATTGGATTCATTTATATCAAGTTTTAGCAACCTTAACAGAAGATTGCTAAATGCCACAGCAAAATAAGGAATCTTAGCAATAGGCAATGACTCACCATCGTACCTGATGGGAAGCAAAGGGGTCTGACATGGTGTCAGAAGCTGGTCGCATTTGAGCAAGATCACAAGTTTGGCCTGGCATATAGAACTTAATTTTATCCAGCTCCATATGCATAAATTTACTGACTAGCAATGCTTGGTGACTTTCAAATGATCTGCTGGAAGTATTTCCAAAGGTTGCTATGAATTTCTTCACTTTCAATGGAAAAGAAGTCATGATTCCTGAAAAATTGTAATGATTTCTGAAGTATGAGATGATGCCTCACCCTACTCACACAATGAATATAAGCAACACCTGGTTTTGCAGAAATCACAAAAGCTGCCAAAATAGAATTTCCACAGAGAACAGTGTTCAAGATATGAACAAGTAATTTTTACCAATTAGCAGAACTTTTTATACCCAAGATGAGAAAGCACTTTGCACAATCAATCATGGAGAGAAGAAACACAGTAGTATGCAGATATTGAGCAAAAATCATACTTTCATAGGATAAATAGCAACAACTGATGTTGTTGTTCATGCTGTTGTATGATCATCATAACTGATGGGCCAGGCTCAACCCATGTTACAAGCCTGGTTCGAGCTAAAGGTCCAATGTCAAGAGATCCAACTAGTCAAGCCCAAAGGAGTCTACACCCGGATAACCTTATCAAGATCAAGGAGTTGCAGGGGAACATGCATGGTCATCCAAGAGTCTCCTCTACCACCTTGGAGTAAGGGTCATCCAAGAGCTTCCTCTACCACCTTGGAGTAAGGGTCATCCAAGAGTCTCTACGCCACCAAGGGAGCATCCAGGAGCCTCACCCTCACCACCAAAGGAACATCCAGGAGCATCACCCTCGCAGCCTGGAGAGAGTCAACCTCCCTCATCCTTGAACAAGTCCTTTGGAGAGCACACCAACCGTCACACCTCGCCCGTTGAGAAGATGATAGGTCGCCTCCGCCAGATCAGCTACCTAATTACTATCAAACGGCCCTAAGCCATTATGACCGTCAGACTAGTCATAAAATTACTATACCAAGCCACTATAAATTGTAAGCTCCCCCAACACTTGGGGAGCATCAGACTCATTTGAGCATAATTCTCTTCTCCCCTCTCAAAGCTTGTAATCATGTGCTCTCCCTCCACACCGGAGATAATAAAATTCTGGCGAATTTAGCCATTCAAATTGGACGTAGTTCGTATTGACCAAACCACTATAAATCTTGTCTTCTCTCCCCTTTTACTTACTGCATTTTATACTATAACTAGACTAGTGGTGTGCAAACTAATTTATGCATCATCAGTTTGGCGCCGTCTGTGAAAACGACAAAATACTCACTTGTAAACACTTTATTTGCTAAACCAATGGCGATCACCACCAGATCTAGATCCATAAATCAGCCTGAAGATAACCCACCACCAAGAGAGGAGGAGGTTGCTCCTCAACCAACCAATCTGCCCCAAATGAGTAGCAGATGCTCGAGACCATGCAGCAGCTTGCGGCCCAGAACCAACAGATCCTACAACTAATGCTCCTTGGGCGTTAAGGAGTTCTCCACATGGGCGTTCCTCGTCTAGGAGGAGGAGCACAACCTGAACCTCAAGTCAGAGGAACTCCACGCCCTGGGCGTCAAGGAGCTCCCCACATGGGTGCTCCTCATCTAAGCGCCCCCTTTGGAGCCCCCTCAGGCGCCCCGCACAGGGGAGCTCCCCACAAGGGACATCCACCTCCTCTTCCAGCTCCCTCTTTTCATGATAGAGACCCTCTTTTCCAAGAGGACGAGGGTGAAAACTAAGGCTTGGAGCATGAGAGCCAAATCCATGGTAATTCCAAGGGACCTCCTCCTAATCATTGGGACGAAAAAATTAAGGAGGTGCAGAATCAATTGGGTGATGTCTTCAACGCCATGAAGGCACGAGGACCCGAGATAGTGGATTACCTTGTAAGTCGAACCGACACACCTTTCAAACCTGACGTGGTGAACTACCCACTCCCTCAAAAATTCAAGATGTCATCCGTCGAAGCCTTTGATGGTACAAAGGATCCATTGGACCACCTTGAAACTTTTAAGACATTGATGCAACTGCACAACGTCCCTAACGAAATCATGTGCAGAGCGTTCCCAACCACCTTGAAAGGATCCGCTCGACAGTGGTTCGCCAAGATCACCCCAGCTTCCATCAGCTCATTTGCTGAGCTGAGCAGGTCCTTCGTGTTGCACTTTATTGGAGGACGTCGTCACCAGAAGCCTGTCACCCACCTGCTCAGCATAAAGTAGGACCGAAATGAGAGCCTGCGAAGCTACCTCACTCGTTTTAATGAGGAGGTCCTTCAGGTCGAAGAACCCGATGAAAAAGTCAGCATGACCGCCTTCTTGGGAGGCCTTCGGTCATCGAGCTTCCTTTTCTCCGTGATGAAACGCCCACCAAAGAGCATGCCAGAACTATTGGCAAAAGTTCAAAAATTTATGAATGCTGAGAAAATCAACAGGTCCAGGTGAGGTGAATCATCTCATGGATCGCCAAAAGCTTGGCTTGCCTTTACACTGTTCTTAAACAGGTAGTCTATCTCTAGCTTAACGGCTCTCTTGAGGGTCGCCAAAAAGCTTGGCCTATCTCGACATTGTTCTTAAACAGGTAGTCTATCTCCAGCTTAACGGCTCTCTCGAGAGTCGCCAAAAAGCTTAGCCTACCTCTACACTGTTCTTAAACAGGTAGTCTATCCCCAGCGGCTCTCTCGAGGGTCGCCAAAAAGCTTGGCCTACCTCTACACTGTTCTTAAACAAGTAGTCTATCTCTAGCTTAATGGCTCTCTCAAGGGTTGCCAAAAAGCTTGTCTATCTCTGCACTGTTCTCAAATAGGCAGCCTATCTCCAGCTTAGCGGCTCTCTCGCGGGTTGCCCAAAAAGCTTGACCTTTGCACTGTTCTCAAACAAGCAGTCTATCACCCGGCTCTCTCACGAGTCGCCAAAAAAGCTTGACATCTGCTATGCTCTCAAGCAAGTAGCCTATACCTCAAACTTAAAAACTCTCTCATGGGTCGCCAAAAACTCGGTCTCAAAAGATGTAGCTCTCTCACGAACAATCCTCAAACTCTATCTTGCTCTCGCGTAAGCAGCTTGCCTATCTTTTCAGGTAATCATGTTAAATATTTTAATATTTAGAATAACATTATTTTTGTCATCTCTAGCCAGGATCTTGAAACTCAGGTCGTCTGCAACCCGAGGGATTACCTTAGATTGAATGTCAACAATCGGAGCCTCATCCATCTAGCACTCAACGCCTGAGACACCTGACCAGCGATGCCAAGAAGTGCTTGACCCCCTTTATCAGCGCCTGGAAGAGCACCTAACCCTTTGTGCTCACCTAAAATGGTGCTCTATGGCGCCTGCACACCAAGACCAACCCTTTTTCCTCCTCCTTGCTCTCCTGGATTAGCGACTAAGGCATACCCATGCTCGCCTAAGATGCCAAGCACAGCAAGTTGCTCACCCAAGTGGCCCTGCACAGCAGGATGCTCGCCTAGCTGGTTCGCGCATACAACAGCACCAAGGCGCCCATCGGTGCACTCCCCAGAGTTGCTCCACTCGCTCGAGGGCTCCGTGCTTGCCTGGGTCGCCTCAGCCTCGGCGCCCTGCACCTGGGCCTCGGCGCCTAATCCTTGACCAACAGAAGTGCTTGCGCAACACCTCTCCTTATAGCCTGCACCCAAGTCCTGCTCGCCCAAGGCATGATCGCCCAAGCTCTGCTCGCCTAAAGGACTGCCCAACACAGCAGGAGCCTCCCTGGTTTGCTCGCCCAGATCACCAAGGCTGCCTAGACCGCCAGCCTCACAGGCAACCCGTTCACCCAAGGCCTCCGTTGCCTCCTCAACATGGGTGCCCAGCCTTCGCCCAGTAGCCAGTCCTACGGGCCATGCACCTCCATCTCTTTTCCAGGGGACAACACCAACATTTCCAAGTTGCACACCAATATTTGCAGACCTTAGCACATGATCTCCACTATTCGACATTGTTCGGAAAAAAAAATTTGCCCAGGAGGTTGTATGCTCGCCCAGGAGGTGGCTTGCTCGCCAAGGAAGTGGCCTGCTCGCCCAAAAGCTGGCTGTTCGCCCAAAAACGCGCCCCTGGCTCCCTGCTCGCTATTTTGACTGTAACTTTTGGTTCATAACTCAAAATGTGGCTTATTATATACCAAATCGAAACTCTTGACGAACTGAGCAAAACTCATTACCTTGGTAATGAGCTTTTCAAAAAATGTCTAAAAAACGTTTAGAAAGAGGTGTTTTGGCCTCCCAAAGTTTTTAAAAAAAAAAAAAAATTTTGCTCGCCCAAGACGCTGCCAGCACAACTCTTTGCTCGTTATTTTGACTGTAAATTTTGTTCTGTAACTCAAAACAGGACATATTATATTCCAAATCAAACTCTTGACGAGCTGAGCAAAACTCATTACTTTAAGTAATGAGCTTTTCAAAAAAAGTCCAAAAAATGCTTAGAAAGAGGTGTTTTGGCTTTCTGAATTTTTTTTTTTTTTTCGAAAAAAAAAAAGAAATCAGCTCGCCCGGGAGGTTTTCTGCTCACCCAGCACAGTATGTGCCCGCCCAGAAGTGGCCTGCTCGCCTAAAACATGCACCCAACTCCGGTTCGAAGTTTTGACCGTAACTTTTGCTCCGTTGTTTAAAATGAGGCTTATAATATATCAAATCGAAACTCTCGGCGAGCCCTACAAGATTCACAGCTTTTAGCTGTGACTGATGCTGTTGAAAGTCCAAAAAAGGCCTATAAATGGATGTTTTGGCCTCCTGAAGTTTTTTCAATTATGTCGGTCAGCCAAAAATTCAAATTCAACTTAAATGACCTCCTTTCCAAATTTTGTTTGGACGCAGGGCATTGGGGGGCAAATGATGGGTCAGGCCCAACCCATGTTATAAGCCTGGTTCGAGCTAAAGACCCAATGTCGAGAGATCCAACTAGTCAAGTCCAAAGAAGTCTACACCCGAATAACCTTATTAAGATCAAGGAGCTGCAGGGGAACATGCATGGTCATCCAAGAGTCTCCTCTACTACCTTGGAGTAAGGGTCATCCAAGAGCCTCCTCTACCACCTTAGAGTAAGGGTCATCCAAGGGTCTACTCTACCACCTTAGAGTAAGGGTCATCCAAGAGTTTCTACGCCACCAAGGGAGCATCCAGGAGCCTCACCCTCACCACCAAGGGAGCATCCAGGAGCTTCACCCTTGTAGCCTGGAGAGAGTCAACCTCCCTCATCCTTGAACAAGTCTTTTGGAGAGCACACCACCCGTGACACCTCGCCCGTTGAGAAGATGATAGGTCGCCTCCGCCAGATCAGCTACCTAATCACTATCAAACGGCCCTAAGCCATTATGACCGTCAGACTAGTCATACAATTACTATACCAAACCACTATAAATTGTAAGCTTCCCCAACACTTGGGGGGCATCAGACTCATTTGAGTATAATGCTCTTCTCACCTCTCAAAGCTTGTAATCATGTGTTCTCCCTCCACACCGGAGATAATAAAATTCCGGTGAACCTAACGATTCAAAGTGGATGTAGATCGTATTGACCGAACCACTATAAATCTTGTCTTCTCTCCCCTTCTATTTACTGCATTTTATACTATAACTTGACTAGCGGTGTGCGAACTAATTTGTGCATCATCAATAACTATACTAGTTCAGCAATGCAATCCTCTTCTCCCATTCCAGTAGGTTATTTGTTTTGTTGTTATTGGAAAATATGCAGATGGCTTTTGGCATATCCATAATTGTTA